GCGCCCCCTCCTCGCCCCCCCCCGCACGCGCGCGCGCGCGCGCGCCCCCTCTCGACGTCGCGTACATTAGCCATCTCCCCACTCTCCCCCTAGAGAAGCATGGTGCCAGGGTGTCTTTCCCCTACCACCATCGGTGTGCTGTCTGCAGCGGAGTACCCCTCTTTCTGCTCTGCCCCCCCTATCTTCATCACATTCATGCGTGACACAATCCACGCGCGCGCGTCGGGCGGTGGCGCGCATGTTGTTGATACCCCGCAAGATCAGACGCGTTCTCGCTCTGTGGCAAAGGAAGATTCAGGAGCGGAGGAAGCACCTGGGTTTTCTTTGCCCGCGTTCCCTCCCTCTCTCTGTTTCCCCATCCCCCCCCCCCCCCTCCGGAGTAGGAGGAGCCATCGCCAATGCAGCAAACCAACTCACGGCAGGATACCGCCCCTTTCCCCCTCCTCTGCACTTCCTCCCTTTTTCATATCCCCTTTCTTCCTCCTGCAAATATACCAAACACAAATTCTACGGTCGGTTCGTGTGCGTGTGCGTGTGCGTGTGCGTGTGCGTGTGCGTGTGCGTGTGCGTGTGAAGCACACATAGCCCGGGGGCAGTAGAACGTACCTGGCTGGTGGCCGTCTCTTTTGCCTCTCCTCCCGACCTTTCTTCATGCGGTGTCTGCTCACCTCGGCCGACAGCGAGCATCCTTCGTCGTGACTGTGGCCGCGGGCGTAGTCGTCGCCATCGTCATCGGGATGCACCAGGGACACTTGGGCATCTATGACCCAGGGGGGGGGGGGACACAATCTAGGCGGGGGAGTTTGAAGGAGGGGACAGGGAAAAGGAAGCAGCCCAGGCGCCGAATCCAGCCGGCTCCCTTGGGCCCCAGACCTGGGCTCTGCCCAAGGCCTACGAAGGGGCGTGATCTGCTACCATGTGACCGTCCCTTAATCGAAAAGTATCACGCCACGGCATTTGCACAATAGGATTGTGGGGAAACTATGGGCTACTACAGTACCCACTCCGGCCATGGGGCTCTTTTTGTTTTTTTTTCTCTCTCTCTCTCTCTCTCTCTCTCTCTCTCTCTCTCTGTCTTTGTCATTCGCTTGTGTGTGCAAAAGGGGGTGACGAGATTGTGGTCGACCCTCGCGTCTGGGGTCGTTGAATTTCTTTAGCATGCATGGCCAAAGGAGAACCGGCCAGCAATCAGCGCCAGTCCAAGGGGCCCCCGTGCGCTTCTTCTCGTTGAGCCAAGCAGGCTGCCCCTGACGCTGTTCTTCGCGCTCGCGAGGAGAAAGGTTGATTTTTTTTGCTTGTTACAACTGGCCCCTGGCGGCCGACCAGGCCAATATTCTAATCAAGGGGCCGGTCTTTTTTCCTCGGCTTCATGCAAGTCGATATTTTCTTCAACAGCTCCTGACACTGCACTGTCGCTTGTGATGATTCCTTTACGGAGGCCTCCTCCTGGACCCCCATGGTCTCTCCTGCAACCTTTCCTGGGCGGGTCAGCCTCACCGCCGGGCGAGAAGAGGGCACATGGGCGCCTGCCCCCAGGGGCCCCTGAAACAGGGGCCCCTGAGTCGAGGCAGTTCTCCACTCAAAACAGAGGACCCGCAGACAAGTGCGGGCGGTGGTGGGGCTGGAGGTGGGCGGTCGGGTGGGCTGGTGGGGGCGCGTGAGGAGGGGAGGGGGGACGAGGGGGTAGACCATGCGCCATGGACAGTCTCAGGCCAGTGCCGAGCCCCTGCAAGGAGAAGATGCAGATCGCTTGAGGGGAGGACCCGCCGCTCGCTCGCCTGCTTGGGCAGCGTCCCAATACGAGAGATCTGCCACGATCCCTGCACAGCAGCAGTGCCCCCCCCCCCTCCCCCCCTCGCCGTAGGGTCACGGGCAGCCTGCTCATCCTCACAGGAGTCCCGCAGGATGGGGAGGGGGGGGGGGGGCAGGCCCCACAGGAGCTGCAGATTGGCGTGCCGGGAGCAGAGCCCTCCGCCGCCCCCGCCGCAGGGGAGGGGAGGGGGGGGTATAAAAGAGGCCCAGCAGAGGGACGCTGGAGGGGGGAGAAACAACCTAACCCGGAACCAACTTTTCCTATTCATCCATACGTCTAACTATCACCATGAGCAACCACCCTTCTAAGATCAGCGGCCAGTGGGAGACCGCCAAGGGCGCCGTCAACGAGGCCTACGGCAAGATGGTCGGCAACGAGAGCATCCGCGCCCAGGGCGTGGCCCAGAAGGCCGCTGGCCAGGCTGAGCTCGCCGCCGCCCGCTCCAAGCAAGCCACCGACGCTGCCTGCGACCAGATGGTCGGCACCGCCAAGGAGGCTGCCGGCCGCGCCGCTGGCGACAAGAAGCTCGCCGCCGAGGGCCACCTCCAAGGCATGAAGGGCGACTTCAACCGTGCCACCAACATGTAAGAGGTACAACCTCTGGCATGATGTCGCCTTCTCCCCCTCCCTCCCTCTCGGCGATGAGAGTCGTATTTTCTGGGCGGGCCACCGTAGTTGAGGTGGCTCCCCCCTCCGATGGACGACTCCCCCGGGTGCGAGGGGAGGGGCGTGTTCCCTCCTCCCGCGCCCTGGGATGCCCTGTACGCGCTGTGTGCCCCTCCCCCCTGCACGTGAGAGTGTTTGCCCTCTGAGGTGTCGGCGGCGGACCTGTCCACCCTTAGCATGTTCTGCCCTCTCCCACACACTGGTGGGTATGTGCTTCATTTGCGGGGGGGCCAATAAAAAGCCACATCGGTTGAGAAAAAAAAGAAAGAAAGATTGCTGTTGGGTGCCGCCCTCGTGCTGGTGGTGTGGGACCAGGAAATATCCACCAGCTCGTGTGTGTGTGTGGCCTGACCCCATCATATTCTTGGGGGCAGAGAGGCGGGCAGGGAGAGGAGCGGCTTGTCAAAACAAAAGTGAATCTATTATGTATGCGGTCACACGCGAGAGGGGGGCTGCCTCCCTCGTGGGGGTGTGTGAAAGGGGGGTGGAGGGTAGATGTATGTGTGTTTGGAGAGGGGGGAGGGGGCAGCCCGGGAGATGACGAGGTTTGGGGCAGCAGCAGCAGCAGCAGCAGCAACAGCAGCAGCATCATGGCCGGGACACCGGTCGGCGATTTTCACCCGAGCGGAAGACCGGAGACGCGCGCGGCTCTCCTCCTTAGGCCGTGAAGGCATCCTCGTAGATCTTGGCCACCTCGGCCTGGTGGACCTTGGAGATGCCGGTGGCCGGGCAGCCGAGCGGGGCCCGACCGACGTAGCGAATGCCGGCCGGCTCGCCGGAGCCCGCGTACATGACATCCTCCGAGGCGTACAGGCTGTTAATGCGAGGCTGGACGTAGGTCCACGGGCCCTGGTTCTGGTGCTCCTCCTGGACCCAAACCAGGTTGTTGGAGCAGTTGACCGCGTTGGAGTACTGGTCGAGGGTCTCGCGCAGGGCATCGAACGGGAAGGGCGACAGCTCCTCCACCCGGACGATGGCCACCTTGTCGTCGAGGCCACGGCGGGCGCGCTCGGCAACCAGCTCGTAGTACAGCTTGCCGGAGCAAAGGAGCACGCGCTCGGCCGAGTAGGCGCGACCGTCCGCGAAGGCCGGGTCGGCCAGGACCGGCTTGAAGCCGCCGGAGGCCGGGGTCAGATCCTCCAGAGGGGAGACGGCGGCCGGCAGGCGGAGCAGGGTCTTCGGGGTGGCCAGGACCAGGGGCTTGCGGAAAGAGCGGGCCTGCTGGCGACGCAGGATGTGGAAGTACTGGGCCGGGGTGGTGGGGTTGGCGATGATGACGTTCGGCAGGGGCATGTTGCTTTGGGTGCGGGGGAGCGGGGCGTGTGTGTGCGTGCGTGTGTGTGTGTGTGTGTGAGTATCACCAAAGGGTGAGTGGCGTGCGCCTGGGAGGGGGGGGGGGGGGCGCGCACGGCACAGGAGGTGCGCGGGCGAGAAAGGAGGCGAAGAAAAAAAAAACCCGGCGCCAGGCACACGCACCCGTCAAGCTTGGCGAAGGGCTCATCCGACAGCTGGAGGAAGCGCTCGATGCGAGAGCTCGAGTGCTCCGGGCCGGTGCCATCGTAGCCATGCGGCAGGAGCATGGTCAGGCTGGACTGGCGCAGCCACTTGGTCTCGCTGCAGGTGGTGAAGGTGTCGACCATGACCTGGGCGGTGTTCCAGAAGTCACCGAACTGGGCCTCCCACAGGGTCAGGGTGTTGGGAGTGTCAAGCGAGTGGCCATACTCGAAGCCGAGGACGGCCAGCTCCGACAGCGGGCTGTTGGCCAGCTCGATGCGGCCGACCGGGGCCGGCCCGGCCACACCGGCCTCCTCCAGGGCCGGGAGGAGGGCCGAGTTGAGCGGAACATGGACCTCATCGGAGGTCTGGTCCACGAGCATGGCATGGCGATGGCTGAAGGTGCCACGGCCGACATCCTGGCCGGACAGACGGACAACCTGGCCATCGGCCAGCAGGGTGCCGAAGGCCATGGCCTCGGCGGTGGCCCAGTCAACCGGCTCCCCGGCATCCAGGCGGCGGAGGCGGTTGCGCAGGTGCGTGCGCACCAGGCGATCATGCGGCTGCACGGTGTCCGGCACGGTGACCGAAGCCCGGCCGGCGGCCAGGAGGCGCTCCATCGGCACCCCGGTAACCGGGGCGGTCTCGTGGCTGCGGCAGGCGGGCGAGCGCTCGATGCCGGTCCAGCGACCGGCCAGATCCTCCTTCGGGGGGACATACGACCGGCAGCGATCGAGCGCGGCATCCAGGACGGCCTCATAGGCGGCGCGGCGCTGCTGGAGCTCCTCGGCCGAGGCGTGGCCCTTGGCCAGGATGACATCACGCTCGTACTTGGTGACGACCGACTCGCGAGCGCGCACATCGGCATACATGAGCGGCTGGGTGAAGGCCGGCTCATCGAGCTCATTGTGGCCCCAGCGGCGGAAGCCAATCAGATCCAGGACCACATCACGGCCGAAGGTCTGGCGGTACTCGGTGGCCAGGGTGAATACGGCGCGAACGGCCTCCGGGTCCTCGGCATTCACGTGGATGACCGGGGCGCTGATGGACTTGGCCACATCCGAGGCGTAGCGAGTGGACCGGGCATTGCGGTTCTGCGTGGTGAAGCCCACCTGGTTGTTGACCACCACATGCACCGACCCGTAGGTGGTGTAGTGGGGAATGTTGGCCAGGAGCAGGGTCTCCGGGACGACGCCCTGCCCGGCGAAGGCCGAATCGCCGTGCACCTGCAGGGCCAGCACCGACAGGTCCGGCTGGGCGGAGGTCACCCCCGGGGTGAAGGCCTCCTTCATGGTGAGCTTGGCACGGGCCTTGCCGGTGGTCACCGGGTTGACGGCCTCCAGGTGCGACGGGTTGTGCAGCATGGAAATGTGAGTGGCCGGGGAGCCCTCGCCACCGAAGGCCAGGTCCACGGAGGCGGCAATGTGAGACAGCACATCGCCGGAGGCAATGGCATCCGGGGGCAGCTCGCTCTCGCCGGTGGCCAGCTTGTGGAAGAGGGCCTCGGCCGGGAGGCCCATCAGATCGGTCAGGAGGTTGAGGCGCCCGCGATGGGGCATGCCGAGGACGATGTCCGAGACGCCGGCGCGGTTGGCCGCCTCGAAGATGGCCTCCAGGCCGACATGCATGGACTCGATGCCCTCGCAGCCGTAGCGCTTGACCTGGGCAAAGCGCTTGGTCATGAACTGATCGAAGACCTCGGAGCGCATCATGCGCTCCCACATGCGCATGCTGGTGGCGGCATCGGTGGCCGGGGCGGCGGCCAGGCGCTCCACCGCCGAGGCGAACCACTCGCGCTCGGCCTCGGTCGGCAGGTAGGTGAACTCGTACCCAATGGAGGCGGAGTAGGTGCGGTCCAGGGTGGCGATCAGCTCGGCGACGGTCACCTCGGCCGGCAGGTCGGCCACAATGCCCTCGGTGGAGATGGTGTCCTCCAGGGTCAGGCCGTAGAGGGCCGGGTTGAGCAGGCGCCGGGTCTCCACCGCCTGCGAGTCCTGCTTCTGCCCGGCGGCCGCCGGGGCCAGGGGGTTCAGGGAGGACAGGACATGCCCGTGGGTGCGGTAGGCCTCGACCAGGCGCAGGGCGTTGGCGTACTTGTTGCGGTTGGCCAGGGCGGTGGGGGAGGCTGTGTGGCCGGCATCATGGCGTGTGTGTGTGTGGGGGG